GTGTCCCTGAACAGTGTCCCTGAACAGTGCCCACCCGAGGAGGCCGTCACTGCCCCTCAGCCCTGTTCACCGTCCGCTACAGCCAGAGAACTGCGGGTCCTTCTGTAGATAACGGAGCTGTTCTTTTTTTTTTTTTCCTTTTTCTTTCTTTTTAGTTTTATGCTAGTTTAAAGCCAAAACCGCACTGATACAGAAGAGCAAAACTCTTTGCAGGCTGGATTTCCTAATGGCAAATATTGCAGTGTTTGTCACTGTGGGTGGATAAAATCACCTAGGTTTCCTGGAATAATTAATGAATTGGTGCTCAGGGCCCACAGACCAGCAGAGCTTTGCTGCCTGTCAGGTTCGTGAGTGGCAGAGTCACTGCCGTGCCGGGGTGGCCGGGGCTGCCCGGCCGATCCAAGAGCTTTTCCCTCCTGTCCTCCTGCGGCCGCAGGAACTGCTGGCGCTGCACAAACGTGGCTGTTCCTGTGACATCAACCTCAGCCCAGTGTCCCCACCGCTGCACGGCAGCGGGTGCGAGTGGTTTGACAGAGCCTGTGAGCTGTGTGCCGGGAATCTGTGGGAGCAGAGTGGCTTGCTAAAAATACTGCGACAGGGAAAAAAAAAGGGATTGAAAATATAGTTATCAGTTTGGATTTACGTTTGAACCTTGAAATCTCACATAGAGTCTTAACGTTGCAGGTTTCCAGAAGAGAAAAAAAAATGGAGAACAAATTAAAATAAAAGTAGCTAAAGAGTAATTCCAACATTTTGAGGGAAATAGATATTTATTTTATTTTACCAAAACATTACCATAGTGTCTGTGTAATGCCTTTTTTGACAGCACTGTATTTCATTATGGAGTTTCACCACTTAAAAAAGCCCACAGACTCTTACACACCTGCCCTGAGATGACATGTCAGAAACCACTTCCTTCTCCTCAGAAATGGGTCTTCCTAGATCCCACTGGAATCACTTTTTCTGCTGTTCCCACTGAGAGCACATGGCTTTTGGCAGTTCACGGATGTGCCTGTGCCAGTTGGTGACATTTCTCCTTGTGCACTGTCTCTATCCAGTGCAAGCATCCCTGGTTAAAATGACCGGGAGCACTCAGACATCAGCCATACCTGCCGGTTCTGCCTGGCCATGGAGCAGCAGCCCTTCCCAGGTGTCAGTGCTCTGACACAGACACCTGGCCTGGCTTTGCCTGTTCCGAGCCAGGTCACAGGCAGATCCTGCTTGGATCAGCGGGATCCGTTTGGATCCAGTGTTGTCCAACACATCAAGGAAAGCAGTAAATGTGGACAAACTAAGTTTTGCAGCCCAGGAAGGGGCCCAAACTGGTTGGAGGAGCACTGCTTTCCTCAGCCCCTGCCAAGACTTTGGGCAGAGCCCTCCTTTCTCCTGCTCTTGCCGAGCTCCCGCGGTTCTGTGCTATAAACTTCAGTGGATTTCCTTGCAGGGACATCACCATGCTCAACACGTGACGGGCTATGCCAGCTGAATGCAGTGTGGGGCTTGTGGCCCTTGTGGCTGGTGCTGCTCCTTCACTTGCTGAACAGGAGAAGAGCTGCAGCTGGAGCATGTGCCAGAAACTGCTTTGGAAGGAGAGGA